TGTGTCTGTGTGTGACTGTGTGTGTTTGTCTGTGTGTGTCTGTGTGTGTGTCTGTGCGTGTTCTGTTTGTGTGTCTGGGTATGTCTGTGTGTGTCTCTATGTGTATATTTGTGTGTCTGTGTGTATATATGTGTGTGTGTGTGTGTGTGTGTGTGTGTGTGTGTGTGTGTGTGTGTGTGTGTGTGTCTGCGTGTGTATGTGTCTATGTGTGTCTGTGTGTGTCCGTGTCAGTGTATGTCCGTGTGTCTGTGTCTGTGTCTGTATCAGTGTATGTGTATGTCCGTGTCCGTGTATGTCCGTGTATGTCCGTGTATGTCCGTGTCTGTGTATATATGTGTATGTCCGTGTCTGTGTATGCATGTGTATGTGTCCGTGTCCGTGTATGTATCTGTGTATGTCCGTGTCCGTGTCTGTATGTATCTGTGTATGTATGTGTATGTTCGTGTCCGTGTATGTATCTGTGTATTTGTCTGTGTCCGTGTAAGTGTGTGTTTGTGTCTGTGTCTGTGTCAGTGTATGTCTGTGTGTCTGTGTCTGTATCTGTGTATGTGTATATCCGTGTGTCATACCAACGCCATGGAATGTCTCAAACATGGGAAGTTTGACAGTCACTTCCCGTCACGATCGCAGACGTCATCAGTATGTTTTAGTTGGGAGTGTGCACGCTGTAGGGACAAGAAAATAAACAGAGGGAGAGCAGGACAAAGGATATAGGAGCAAGAAAGTGACGGCAGGCTTGAGTTTCAAGGTACGTAGAAAACGATACCTTCCTCGACGAAAGCAACGGCGTACACTGTACACTGAGTGCTTGGGAAGATGCAGATTTTGGTTCGACAATTCTGCTTCGGTGGTTCAAGCGGGCGGCGCATAAGACAACAAAAACAAACAGAGAATTAGTGAACAGTGTGTCACACACACTCACACAAACTCTAAGACACACACAGACTCTTGGTTATTGATGTGTTATGAGCATCATTATAACCAGTATCCAATAAGACAGTCAAGAGTTCCTGGATTCAATGCTCAACAAAGTATCACGTCCCTTTCGTTACCATAAGTTATCTGCCCGGCGCTGTCTGCGCTCATCATCAACAACACGAATCATGTTGGAATCGTAAGAAGAAGTCCACTCCACATATTCTCTTTGTTGTGTATCTCACAATGGCAGAAGTCTTCACACCATGAAAACGTCAGTGTGTTCACAGCATGCATCGTCAACAACCAGAATGAGCACAAGTCTTCCCCGTTATGAACTTGGTTGCCTGACGAATTTTATCGCCACTCACACACAAACAATCTCACACATGCCCATACATGCATAAGAGAAGGGGAGAGAGGAGACAGAGTCCATACTACACACAGGTGAAAATAAGCAGCGGAAGACAGACATGCACAGGTGGGGAGAGGACACGCAGTGTTTCCCACTCTCCGACACAACTCCCAACAACCAATCACAAGAAAGAACCTGCGAAGATCACAATTGGAAAGGTCATTGATGATGAGCAACTCATACAATTATTGTAACAGAGTTTGTTCCAGTATGTCACCACACTCAGTACTCACACCCCACTCTCTATCATACACCCAGTTAGTAGCGCTGCATCAGAACAGCCTCCCAGTGGCCAGCGCCAACCACCCTGATGAAGAACAGGTCCTGCGATGAAGTCTTCAGTGCCGATGGACAACTCTGACGAAGGAACAGGCAGCTATGGCTGCCACCACCCAACGAACCACCACTGTAGAGCCTCGGTCCAGCCCGGCCAAAAGAGCTCACCCGGTGGGCTTATCCTATCTATCTACTCTCTAGACCTAGACCGGACTTACTGACCGACCGGTACCGTTGCTGCTTCGGCCTCTTGGCCTCTACCGGACCCAGCTATAGGCTATAGGACCGTCTAGCAGAATAGGCCATGTTGGGCCTGTCTGTCGTAGGGGTAGCCCGGGCCTGCTATAGGCAGTCAGGGTAGCTGTACGAATTCGGTTAGTACCTGGCCTGTATTTTCCCGGATATACAGATCTGTGCCTCACGAATTTCCACACAGGCAGGTTGGCGGTTAGCCCTCAGCCAAATAAAGTTACGAATTTAACCCTACGGGTTACTGTACAGCACACAGCACACACGCACAGCACACAACACACACACAACACACGCACACTACACTCAACACACAGCACACACAACACACACACACCACACAGCACACAGCACACACATTCATACACACAGCTCACAACACACACACACACTACACACTTTACAGCACACACACACACAGTACACAACACACTACACAACACTACAGCACACTACACAACACACAACACACAACACACTACACAACACACTACACAGCGCACTACACAGCGCACTACACAGCGCAACAACAGACAGCACACTACACAACACTACAGCACACAACACACTACAACACAACACACAGCACACTACACAGCACTACAGCACAACACACACCAATAGCACACACACATCACACACACACTACACAGCACACACAGCACACACACACTACACAGCACACACACACACACACTACACAACACACTACACAGCACACAACACAACACACTACACAGCACACAACACACTACACACTACACACTACACAGCACATAGCACATTACACAGCACACAACACACTACACTACACAGCACACAGCACACAGCAGTGAGCACACAGCGTCGCTCAGTATTGAGTCAACACCGCACCTACACACTCATACACATTATATGTGTGTGTGTGCGAACCGGTCTCAGCGCAGTCTTCACTGTGTTCTTATTTGCGTGTCATGCTTTTCTTTGCTGGATTGCCTTTGCGTGGTGCTCCTTTCCTCTTCGACGACCCCGCTGGAGTGTCACCGCCTTTGCGTGCTGCTGCTCTCTTCTCAGACACCCCCCTCCCCGCCTGCGTTTTCCTGTTGACCTTCCTTATAGCATTCATTTGTCGTAGCTTTTCCGCTCTCTTCTGCTCGTCGATAATGCCTTCATATTTGTATTCCCAGCGAGCCTTGGCCAAGTTATCAACCAGCCTCAGGTCCTTGAGCACGATCGTCACCCTCTTGCAGTGGATAGCAATGATGTTTGTTCTCTCGAAATGGTTGATGAGATATGCTTCGGCCGCTTCTAACAATGCACGTATGGCGTTCATCTGAAACCTGATACATTGTCTTGGTGCGATTTCTTTCTCAACAATCTCGCGCACGACCCTTATGAACGGCCTCAAAGCGATGCACAAGTGAGTAGATCGCTGGAGTTGCCGAATTTCTGCCAATGCTGCCATCCCTGCGCGACGCCTGCGCTTTTAAACCGGGGCAGCAACTGCTTTGGAAGTCTGGCCTTGATCTGGGACATCTTTTTGTTTGCCTTTTGCTTTTGTTGAACTCCCAGGTCCTTGAGGCGGCCTAGATGTGCACTGCTTCTTCTTCTTCTCTGCCCTCCCTGTCACGTGCTCTGCAGTGGTGTCACCATCGTCAGGTTCTGCATTAGAACATCCCCCATCATTTGCTGTTTCTGGACCATCGACCTGACTTGGCAAATGTGAAATGTTCTGCTGCTGCTCTGTTGTTGGTTGTCCATTCGATGCAGCACGAGTGTCGTCATCACCCACATATTGAATGTGCTGCAGTAGTCCGTCTATGTAGGTGAGTTGGAAAGGGACACCCAGAGGGTCTCTGAATCTCATGCACATCTGTTCACCATGGTCATATGTCATGGGACAGACGACAGGGACCCACCCAAGAAGTGATGTGCACCCATGTCTGCGTCGAACGGCCTCCAGAAACATTCCATCTGTCGAGGGCCGCGCTTGCTCAGTGCACGAGTCTTCCACGATCGACCACATCGCCTGGTCATTATGAGAGTCATATCCCATGCACACCATCTGTCGTTCTTCCTCCCTTATCTTCTCTCAGCAACGTTGCGCGTGTTCCTCCAGCAATCCCCGGTCCTTCACATGAGGATTGCAAACGGAGAGACGTGTCACCACCACCAAGAACTGTCAATGTTCCACAACGCCAGCATGCATCCAACCCAAAGGCAGCCACTCACCAGATTGCATTTTTGCTGCCAGTGTCACTTTGCCATCAACAACTGCTGGATGCAAARAAMCAGGTACCCAATTCACATGGTACCCGTACATGTCACGACCCACATGCTGGTACAACTGCCCTTCTTGAATCACATGGGCCGCAATGTTACTGGCTGCAACCACATCCTTCCACATTGCCACATGGTCCCATATGTCCATACAGATGCCATCAAATGTGGTTTTTTTCCCCCTTACGTGGACACATGTGATGCTCTTCTCACCACCAAACACCGTTTCTTCAGCCAGGGCCAACTCGACAGGATTGCCAAGTGGTGGGTCGAAGATGTGTGCATCGCATGGCCGGAATGTCACCGCCTCCTTTTCGTCTGTAGTCGCTTCTCTGTCCAAATGACGGAAGGAAAACATGTCGTTC